TTTGTTGTGTCCATTTTCTTTCTCATAAATACACATTTCAAGCTGTATTCAAACTGAAAATCTCATCGATGACATTTGAAAATCACTTTTAAAATAAAATGTTAATTTCTCCCATAACCAATAAGCATGAAAAAATAAATGAATTTACAGCAGAATTCTTCCTTATCAGACATTGTCATTGCGACTGGAAATAAAAATGTTATAATCTTTCAGCATTATTATTCTGAAGATTGGTTATTAAAAAGTGCAGTTTCAAAAACAATGTATTTCTTAGTTCATATTTTCAAATGCTTAGTAAATATAATCAAAAAAAAAATTCATGAAATCAAATATTTTTCAAAAAATTTATTTTCTTGTATATACTACATTCACTGTTTTTATTACCAATTTCCTTAATATTGAAATTCTTCCTAAATTTCCGAAGTTTCAAATGGAACGTTTAAATTTCTGAAATATCTGGAAAAATAACGTGCGATATTTTTTTTTCAATGCTGAAAGAATTTGTTATTACTACTAAGAAATATCAAATCATTGTTAATATAAAAAAACATCAACTTATTATTTCTGATTTACACTGGTTGATAATATATTTTTTTTTCCTTAGCGATTAAGATTTTGTATCAGCAGCGATATTCACCGAATTTCGAAAATATGTTTGTTCACGTGTGAATATCAAAAGAATAAGTTTCTTTTTTCCCCCCTTAAGCTCCTTCCACAGCTCACATTTATAAGACCTTTATAATTCACTTGATTTAGTTCAGCATTTAGTCGCCGAATGTGATGTGATATATTTATTTATTATCATGTTTTTTTTAAATAGCTATTTTAATTTTAATTCAAAACTGTAATATGCCTTGATGTAGTAATCACCAATGAAAAGGTCATTTGTGATAGAATTATTACATTAGGAAATTTAAGAGCTATCAAGGCTAGTGCCAGTTTCGAATCTCATTTTTTTAATGATTTCATTGTGAATTTTCTCACTTTCCATTCGCAAAATTTTCTGCATTAATATACTTTCATTTAAAAGTTGCGTTGAATTATGGACTTTGAAGATATTTTAAAAAATGTTAGAGATTTCGGAATGTACTAAAAGATTTTGCCCTGACTGTTTTTCTTCTTCCAACTTCTACTATCATGAATAAATTCTACTATCATGAACTATCATGAATAAACTTTAGAGTTATTTTCGTTTCCCTGAACATTGGTGCTATGTCCCAGAAGTATATTCATCTAACTTGTCCATAGAACACAAAAAAAGTATCTCATCAGATCCCCTAGTGATCCGTATTGTTCTTGATATGATTTGAATTTTAGCAATTTACTTCTTACGGAGAATTACACATTAGATCTAAAGTCATCTTTGAAAAATTGTGAAAAAGGTTGAACCTGTGAGACAGCTGTTACAGAAGTAAGCAGAAACGGTATGTAATTTTTGTTTTTATACTTTTATACTTAATGCTCACTATTGGTTAACACATTGTGTAATGCTACAATAGTATAAAGTTCGAAATTCTGCAAATTAATCTAAACGATTTTCAGTCTATAAATTTACGTGGATAAATTTAAAAAAATAACTAACTAGTTTTTAGCTTTTAATAAATTTTAAATTGCGAATAACTTATTTAGAATAGATACAAAAATATAGTCTTTTACATAAAAAATAACTAATTTTTTTAATGAATTCATTTTAGGAATGAATTAAGGTTGCTTATAGAACCCAAATGGGATTCTATTTTAGCCTCACATTGACCTATTTAACACGTTCACGCCGGGGTGACCCACCGGCGGGTCACGCTAGATTGTCTCATCGGGCGGCGCACCGGAGTAAAAACTGGTAACAAATAAATTTCATTTTTTAGTTTTTTTTCCGGGAATAATAAAAATCCATAACTACTAATTGTTTTTAACGGATGCAANGATATTCAGAACAGGTTACTTTATTATAATGTTACCACATTGTTACATAATTCAAAATGTTTTATTCACTGTATATAATTTTCATGATGAATGGGGTAGGGGTCGCTGCGCGGCCTAGGCACCCAGTTTTGTTTAAATAAAGAAAGAATAAAGGATGCAATTTTTATATTGAATTGCTTCTTCGCCTCCCGAATATTATCTAATATTGAAATAGTTCTTCTACCAGTATTTTCTCTTTTCCGTCCCGCTTTCAGGCGCAACAGCCGGCGTGAACGTGTTAAATTGCAAATCTTGCATCATTAGCGATTTTCACGAATGATTTTCTAGTGGTAGCAAAAATTAATTTTAGTATATTATTTTTTAAATATAATATTATTTTAATATAATATTATTCAATTACATTATAGCAAGCTTACTGAGTCCTCTGAATTCATTTCTTGCTTGTTTCATTGAAAGTTAAATTGAAAGAAAGCGTTATTTGAAAACACTAGACAGTATATAAATATTGGATAGCGCAATTTTTCTAGCTTAGGCTTAAAAATCAGTTGGAAATAGTAACCCGGAACTCTTATGACGAATATTAACCCCCAACGTCATCGGTGCTTTGCTTTACACGGTCAATCACCCATAATAGAGAAGTTGCAAGACAATATTTACGAGATAGAAATTGGGTGTATAGATTGAAAGTTGATGCACTAAAATCTCAATTCTTAGAAATTAATAAACCAAGGAAAGAATTCCCTGTACAGAAACAGTTAGTACTTTTTAACAGCATTTTTCTCACTATGAAGAAGACTTGCACTAGACCTTAACAAAATCTCTTATATGAGACCGCGCAAACTACCTTAAGAACAAACCAACATAGTTGTCTTGCATTCCAACTTTTACGCATTTGTCGTAAAATTTTATTTTTATATTTAAAGTGGTAGTAAAATGTTTGTTTTCTATACATTCCTTGAATTTATAAACTTAATTTATAATTTTTTTTTTTACCATCACTAATTTAAAAAAAAAGCATATATATAATTATGCTTTACTGTTGTATCATACCGTATACGTTACGTATATCTTAATCAAAATACAGCGCGTGTTACTGCCTAAAATTGTACTTTAAATTCCATTTTACTACCACTGGGGAAAAGCATCTTCGAAAGGATTAAAAGTTGGCAGGTATGCGAATTTCTAAACTTTTGATGTATTTGAACTCGTGAAAAAATAAAAATTTTAAATCTGCATATAATTCTAATTTTCTTCTTTTTATTTTACTACCACTAGATAAAATTATTATCGGAAAGATTTAAACTTATTGGTAAGTAGTAAGAAATTAAAGTTGCGGAAAACCCCTTACCATTCAAAGCGTTTTCCTTCTAAATTAACAAAAATTACTTAGACATTAGCTAGAAACTTTTTGCATTTAGAAAAAATAGAAACAAAACAAAAACAAATTGGAAATTTTTTATTAATTGCCAAATTCAGTTCCGAACAAAATTATGAAAAATATTTTGTAAATGTTTTTCGGTAGACAAATGAGTAAGTGTAAAATATCCAAGTGTAAAATTTTATATTTCTGGTAGCAAAAAGAGACGATGCTCTAACCTTATCGTTCTGTTGTAACTTGATTCTGATAGCCATGTCGGAGGGTGGCAGCAACACCTTCTAGAAGTGAGAAGTCCTCTTCACGGATCAATTTAGTAGTCCGACGTAATGAACAAAAACTGCGAAGTGGGGTAATGAGTAAGATGTCAAAACTTTCGGATTACTAAACTGCGCAGTCATGGACATTTGGCAATAAGTAAGATGCCATAACGTTCGGACTACTAAAGGTTCTGGCTTCTTGTTTATAGTAACTCGTGCAGTGGCCTTCTCTATACTCAGGAAAAAGGAAGCATGGTTTTTTTACTGCAGGTTGGAGGATTTGAAATTACTAAAAATTACAAACTGCAAGAAAAAGGCGACAAACAGAAGAGGCTGATCCGAAAACTTGAGGGAGGCCAAGGATTGTATTACCAGGATGATGATATATGCAGAGATGCCAACTTACTCCGGACAGCAAATACATATATATATCAAAGTGGTAGTTAATCAATTGTGATTCTTGGCTTAATAAATTCAATTTAGTAGATTTTTATCCACCACTATTTCTAAATAATTCGTAGATTTATCGAATTCACCACTTTACAATACTCATGTCATGCTATACCTTTTAAAAAGCAAGCATAAATAGTTCAATATTTGCAAAATTTAGTTTGTAGTTATTTACCGTTTTTTTTTAATTATTTTGGCGTGTTCGGATCAGTTGGCATCTCTGTATATGCATGCGAAAATATAAATATGGTTTTTTTTTATAATAAGATAATTTATTGTTCGTATCATTTATTCCTTATTGATTATACAGGGTACCTGGGGTCCTTGAAAAATTTCAGTATTGGTCGTAAATTAAGATTACTGCTAGAAGATATTTCTTATTTTGACATACCACTTTATCGTTTAGGTTTGTGGCTATAAAGCTGGAATATTCATGCTTATATACTTTCTTCGAAAAGCAATTTTTAGTGGTGGTTACACAGAAATTAAATTATCGACATTTGCTTAATTTTCGCTACCACTTTTTAAAATTTGCAAAGCCCTCGGGAACTCTGTTATGTCACGGTATGACATAAAAAAAAAGGTTTTATAATGATTAAAAAGATAAATAACATCCTAAATTACTAAAAGGAAATATGATAAATATTTCCTCATGAAGAAACTAAAATGGTAAATATACCTAAAAATCAAATTCACTTGCGTATTTTTTCAGCTATTTAAGATGAAGTCTGGTTTAATTAATTCTCTGTTTCATTAGATTAACGCAGTTAAATAACAATTTTCATCGGCTTCTTTCTCATTCGAATTTCATAAAAATGTTTATTCAAGTGTTCATTTCAAGAGATGGAACCTTTTTATTAAGATTGTTTGTAAAGCTTTGCATTTAAAAAATTATTTATATTTATTTTGTTTTGATTCAGCCTTGCACAAAAATGTGAAGCGATAATATATATTTATTATTTTGAGCTAATGTCGCAGTTGGATAACTTTTAATGACAAATTTTATTACGTCTTTAAGTCGATTTGCTCAGTAACCTGATGTTGGAACGACATTTCTAATAATTTCTGATAATTTTATTATGCTGGTATATTTAAAAGCTTTCTTCTCTGTTGAAAAAGTTATGAATCACACAATTTAATCATTTTTATTTTAAGCTTCGTTTAGTGTAGTAAGATGTCAAAAATGTTATAATTCTCTAATTCTATACATTTATAATACAACATCCTTATGAATGAATATAAATTTAAAAGGTTGCTTTAAAACATGGAATTTGAAGATATATTGAAACATGCTGGCGATTTTGGAATTTTTCAAAAGATCTTGCTAATCGGTTTTCTAGTACCAACATCAACTTTCGTACCATGGATTAACCTCAGTGCTATTTTCATATCTCACACACCAGAGCATTGGTGCTATGTGCCTGAAGTATCTTCATCTAACTTGACTATAGAACAGAAAAAGTACCTCATGAGACCCCCAAGTGATCCGTATTGTTCTAGATATGACGTGAATTTTAGCAGCTTACTTTATACGGAGAACTACACAGTAGATCCAAATTCTTCTTCGAAGAAATGTGACAAAGGTTGGTATTATGATACCAAAGATTTTGATCAAACAGCTGTTACGGAAGTAAGTATAAAATGTGTTTTTCATCTCTCCCTTTTTTTTTTTCTTTCTATGTGTCAGGAAGTAGCTGTTTCTCCGCTTGCATACCATGGAAAGTCTGCTTTTTAACACTAGGTATACTGACGTTTCTTATATACCTATCTCGACGAACACGCGTCAATTTGACGCATGGACGAATACATATAACAGCACTTACAGAAATGCCAGTTTGCTCCGGACAGAAAATATATATTTTAAAGTGGTAGTTTATCAGTTGTGATTCTTGGTTCAATAAATTTAATTTAGTAAATTTTCATCCACCACTATTTCTAAATACTTCGTAGGCTCATGCAATTTACCACTTTATATTTGCAAAATATACTTAGTAGTTATTTACCGTTTTTTAAAAAAATTATATTGGCGTGTCCGGAGCTGTTTGCATCTCTGCGCTTAGAAAGCAATGTAATTATATACAATAAGAAAAAAAAATGAAAGTATGAGAGATATATATTTATGAAATATTCCAGTATTTTATTTTTCAATACTCGAACTAAGCAACTGAAACCTTTATAATCTGACATCAATTGACATTCTGCGTTTGTTCTTTCTATTATTGTTTATCGGCAAAAGTTGTTTATCGCTTGTTTCATTTGAGATAACGATAACGAATCAAAGTATTGTCGGTATATTCCTATTTGTTATTGATGTGACGTTTGCATGTTTACTAAAAATTTTGCCTGAATTCCGATCGCACCAAATTGACTCATATCCGTAGAGATAGGTATACCACAATGAGAATTTTAATATTACAACGCTTTTGAAGAAAATAGACTTCAATACCTCGATCAATCGATAAAAGTCATTACAAGAGATAAAATAAAAATGCAAACGGGTTTTGGAATTTTCCTTATAAAATTCGAAATGCGTCAAAATGACGCGTCCGGTAAACCTAGTGTTAACGATGCTTGCTAATAACACCGATTTGCAACAAGTTTTTATTTTCAATTCGCAAATATTGCAAGAATTAAATAACACTGGGATCCGAATTTTGATTGTTTTTATTTCGGTTTCAAGAAACTTTTGAATGAATCCTGACGACTTGGAAAAAAATAAATGTGTGGTAACTAAGATTTTTAAAGACTACTGAAAAATGCTTAAATTTATTTTTCATTTGTGAATCACGAAAATATTCCCGATTTATTTTTTGAACCCAAAAATATTTTCTTTAAATTAAATATTTATTAATAGCTTCAAACATCTAAATATATCTGACTTTTGCTACCACTTTAAAACATTTTCCAGACCGTGGGAACCCTGTTAGATATACTCGAGTCGCCAATTTCAAATCTGCAATCGGTTTCTCCTTACAAGGTTCAATTTTAATGCAACTCAACCATATATTTCTAACCGACATCTTTTAAAATTCACCAGAGAGAATACTAAGAAACTCCACTTCTCAGCTGTGTACGGAGTGGTAGATATCTTCCCACCGATTCAAGTTCTTTGATATTTTGACATCACTGATTTCAAATCTGCTATCTGTTTTCTGTAGATATAGTTTTATACGATTTAATAATATATTGTGAACCAGAATTTTTTTAAATCTCACTCGAGTGAATGCTAAGTGTCTACACTTCTCAGCTACGTAGGGAGTGGTAGGAAGAAGAAGATAATGCGTTCCAGTTCATAAAGCAATTCCTGAAAGTCATATGCTTTTTAACTTAAGTGTTATTTTCAGAGGAGCTTACAAGTGTATATGCATGTACAGGGCTGCCATCTTTCTACGCTTTTTAGGAATTTTTTTTATATGTGTTATCTAAGTTTTTCTTTTAATGTATTGTTTTTATTTTGCAAATTTGATTTAAAGTTATTTTCTACACCACTACATGTAGATAATTCGAAAGATTACATGACACCCCATTTGTACTAGCTCTCTCGTAGTGAAGATTTCAAAATGTGGGCAGTATTACCTAAAGTTCTGAAAGCTTTAGTTTTAAATTGTCGACCACGTAGTAGTTGGTAGACCTGTGTATACATATTAACCTATACGTTCTTTATAAACTTGTACACTCAGACGAAAAAGAAAGAACTAAAAATACCATTTTGAAAAATATCTATAGCTTTCGGAACAAAGCTAACTTAACAGATTCGGAACTAAATAGATTTGAAAGATTATATAAATGCAATAAAAAATTGTACCCCAGTATTATTAATCACTGCCACTCTGTTGCATGACTTGGCAAGAATTCGATATCAAAACCTAATTTTTTGTTTCCACTAGAAAAGTTTCCCCTTAAAGTAAAGCAAGTTATCCTGTTTGATGAAAATCTTGTATGTTTTAATTTATTTTCAGTTATTTAGCTTTTCATTGGTCACAACTTTTAAATATTTTTATGCTCACGTTTAATCCCTAAAATTTTGATTTAATACTGTGTTTCTTAACCCTTTTGCACTCAAGTGTCTTTCAGAAGATTTAAAAAAACCTGATGTAACCACTCTGAAATGCCGGTCGTCTTAGTTCGATTGCCTGAGGGATAAGCTTCAAGTCACTTAGAAAAAGCATCAACTATTATGCGAAAATAATGTTTGAAAAACGGTCCGGTAAAATTTATGCGCATTCGGTCCAAGGAGACGAGGGATACTCCCAGTAATGCACTTTAAATCGATTTCGATTTAGTTAATTTTTCACGCAATCAGCACAATTTCGCGCCAATATTATCAATATTGTTCCAGTACACACAATGAATTTCATTTTAATCACTACCAAGTGATTAAAATGAATTTACTGAATTTACTAATGAATTTAATAATTTTAATCACTACCAAGTGAAATTATCTTAGAAATTTCCTTGGAACACAAACCCTTGAACCATGAAGTATACAATCTCCTCCTACAGCGTATTTCTCAATATTATCTTTCTTCCCCATAAAATCACAACCCTTTTTTTAGAGTCTAAAATTGGTTTTAACTCCTTGTCAGTTGAAATAGCTTTTGCCAAATCATTATGAGTTAAGCAATGTCTCTATTTGGGTTAGTTCGAAAAGAGTTGCTTCATATCTGGCTTCTAATTTTTCAGATTTACCTGGACATTTAACTCTGCTAACATATTTTGACATAGAAATCAAGAAAGAATAAAATGGCTGCTGACGGAAGCAGCGTAACCAACCATGCATGTAAAGTTCACAGAAGACGTTCCTTTTGACTTCTTATTTTGAATGTTACATTGCTTCTGATGCGCATAGCATGCGAACTTAGTTCATCTGATGCTCTGCTAAATCTGAGTATGCTGTTGCTCACCCTGTAAGTTGCTTTTCTTGTAAAGCGTACGGAATCGAACTGAGCAGTTCCCCGCCTTAGTTACGTATTCGGAGAGCTGGACATCTTCTTTCTATATTCTTTGGCACGACGGTTACCGATCCCTAGAAAATGCCAGAAACTCATATACTGTCGTTTGCTGAAAGAATTGATGGGCCAAATTGGATTTTATAGCGAGGAAACGCTTCCATCATTCACATTGAAAAATCTTCACTGGTATGATTTTACGATAATACATTGCAAGTCACGTGATGGCCGGTCTTTTGTCGTGACCCGACTAAACGTGAAGGGTTATCTTTTTAATATGTCTGTATTTACAATTTTTTTTTTTTAAAATTAATATAATAACTGCTCACTCATACTCATATGTGGTGGTTATCTTAGCATCAGCCCCGCGAGCGGCTCTAACTAATTCACCTGAGTGGGAATAAATAATAAATCGCCGATGCATTTCAGTAACATTTACTGAGAGAAAATTAAAATTAAGTTGCGAGATTAAACAAATAAATTTAAGAGAGAGAAGAGGTTTTGTGGCCTCCCCTGGAGGTATTACCCCCGACCTTCTCAGGTGTACAGTAGCCACATAGCCTCAGAGAAATAGGAATACATGATAATAAATGCGCAAAAATATATACAAATATTTACAACTATTTATAAAATTTACTGGGCAAAACTCCATCGGATAGGAAGAAGGTGTTGCCGGGCTATATTTTAAGTTATCTTTGATGAATAATAACTGCTAACATCTGCTGATTGACCGTAGCAATTCATTTTTATGTTTGAAGTGGTAATAAATCTTATAAATTTCTTTTTCATTCTTAGATTGATTTAATTTAATTTAATTTGATTTTGACTGCCACTAAATTCAAGTAAATCAATTATGCATATACATTCAAGTTACGGATGACTAGATTGCAAAAGCAATTTTAAAAAGAAATGCCTCCTGAGAAACAGTAAATACTGGCTGGTCTTCTTAATAGATACGTAGTAGCAATGTTCATTTGTATAAAATTATAATGATATTATTATATTTAATTTCAGTGGAATTTAGTTTGCGAGAATGACTATTACAAGAGCATGGTAGTAAGTTTTGTGTTCGTGGGAGTCATTATTGGTACACCATTTTATGGTTTTCTCTCTGACAGGTATGTGAAAATATTTTCAGAACTAATGTAGATTTATCTGTCTTAGTAACCCAATTGCGCTTAACAAAACTATTAACACGTTCAGCGTCACGCCAGCCATCGGTGGCTGACGCTGGACTTTCCATTTAGGCTGCGTCAGCCACCGTGGCTGACGCTGAAATTACATTTAGGCAGCGTCAACCACCGTTGGCTGATACTGAAATTAAATTTAGGCCGCGTCTACCACCGTTGGCTGACACTGAAATTACATTTAGGCAGCGTCAACCACCGGTGGCTTCAGATATGTCATGCTAAACCTTTTATAAACTAGCAAAATTTGACTATATTTGAAAATTTAGTTTGTAGTTATTTACCGTGTGACCAGACGAGCAAGCCATATAAAATTAGCGTGGCATTCAACGTGTTAACAAACTTATAAAATTGCATTTCCTCTTTACATGAACAGAAAAAACTTAATTAACAGCTGCGTTTCATTATTAGGATTTATTTTGCTGAAACAAGCTCGTTCTGTATCTCGAATTAGCAATATAAATATTTAATTTTCTTTAAATCTGTAGTCACATCACATTTTTACCAAACAAGTAATAAACGTAAGAATTTTCTATTTGGTATAAACGAATATCTATTATATCTTTATTATATAGGTGTTTTATATACAGAGAGCACTTCGTGTGGCTGAGCATTTATGGGTAAAAATAATTTGATCGGGGACATAATTTAGTTTTCATTTTTGCAAACATTTTTAGTTAATATTTTCTTTTTTAAACTTTTTTGATTTAAAAAAAAAACAATGAAGTTTCATCTATAAGACTAAATCTCACGTTTCATTTTGTAAATTTCTTGTACGTGACACATAATTTGAATTAAATTAGTGCAATTTCTTTAGACTTGGAACTTATAACCCATTTTCTGAAAATAAATATTCTTATTTTCCTTATTATATTAAATATGGAGATAGAATCAAATACTTTAAATCGGATGTTCCAACTGATTAGCATGTGTAAAGGTAGGTTCTCGAACTAACTGAGTCATAGTACGTAAAAATCCATTCTTTAAATCTAAGTTTCAGGGTATTAGCTATTTTTTTGTACAATGTTTATTACGTCAGCCGAAGGAAATTTAATGCTTGTAAGTGATATCCCTTGCGGGTCAGCCAATCTTGTTCGACGCATATGCATGACGTCGACACATCATACTCAACCTTGTGATTAGTTTAAAATCTTCATCATATTTAATGGTTTTATAATTCATATAATACTTTCAGAAACTATTAGATTAATTAATAGTCGCCTATTTCTATCCTATGCAAATGACGTTGTATATGAATTCTTCAACAATAGGAATCTAAAACGATTTTTAAATTAAGTTTCAGCTTGACACTTATTAGTGACATAAATTACATATTATAGCTTTAGATGCCATGCCTCCAAAGAACCTTGGATAAGTTAATAACTTTTCCTAGCAAATATTTGTTCGCCATAAACATTTTTGATCACAATAATGTCAATATTTACGAAATAGTAATAAAAATGACGCTTAAAAAATTTGTCATAAATATTATGTTTTTTTTTTTTTTTTTTTTTTTTTTTTAATTTTTTTGTATATCTTACTTCATCTTGCTTCATATCTTACATCATCTTTTTTTATTAAATGGAATTATGATTAAAAGGTAAAAACTATAAAATTTAATTAGGTTATTTTAATAATCTTTATTAAATCCAAAGAACTATGAAATTGATTAGAAATATCATTTTAACCACCTCCTTATGCCAGGTTTTTTTTCCTATAAATAAAAAATCAAATTTTTTATTTTATTTTTAAGTATGAGTGAATAAAACTAGACATAAAATATAACCATTTTCAGCTTTATATGCCCAGCCAACTACAACTTAGGTCAAAAATTTGGCAACCACTAGTTATGTAAAATTAGTTTAGCAATTGGTATTTGTTAAGCAATATTATTTTTAATTAAGTTATTACTTACAGATGTAGTGCTTCCAACTAATACAGTTTTTCCAGAATGTTTTATAGAGTGATGAACAATTAAAATCTAGAGCTTTCCGAATACTTGGTAATTTTGCCAGCATATTTAAAGACTCAAATCGAGAGAGATCGACCATAATGAGTTTAAGATTAAATTTTGAACCATTTACGTATAGTGGAGTGAAAAATAACTTTTAATTCAAATTTACAAAACAAAGAATAATGCATTTTAGTATAAAGTTAGCTACCACTCGAAAAACATTTCCCATAGAGTGTTAAAAATTAGTAGCCATGTAACTGGTTGTAAATATTTTATAACCGTCGTTGAACAGCCGACCCAATTCTATGGGTTTACGACTACTAATGTTCAACTCCGTAGCCTTGTAATTTTGAACCCAATCCAGAAGACAAGGGAACTCCTGGATCGAGTATTGGGAGAAATTCGCCTTCGTGGAGGACAATTTGATGGAACTAACCATCACCTCCCATATCAAAAAGTCTCCACACGGTCTTTTATAAGTAGTCCGCGCAGACTGCTTCAAAAGTGAACCAGTTGTGCGCATGAACCCAAAACCTTTTATAAAAGTAATTGAGAGATATTTATCATGTATATTTGAGAATTGAATCTGTAGTGGTTGATAAGTGAATAAGGCAAACCAATAATATTCATAAATAAAATAAATTTTTAGTCATATATTTGCTACCACTTTCTTATTTTAACTAAATTTTGTATTAAATGACTCGTTCGGAAAGTGGATATCCTTGTCATACGTGCAATTACTTTAAAAATTTTGATTTTGAGCTCATCAAAGACAACATAAAATATAGCCCGGCAACCGCCTTTTTCCTATCCGACGGAGTTTTGTCCCGTAAATTTTGTAAATAGCTGTAAATACTTGTAAATAATTTTGTGCATTTATTATGTATTTCTCCTTTTCCCTGGGGCTATGTGGCTACTGTGCACCTGAGAAGGGAGGCGAGGCAGTCTGCCACAAAACCTCTTCTCTCTCTCAAACTTGTTTGTTCAATCTCACTACTTCATTTTAATTTTCTCTCAGTAAAAGATACTGAACCCCAACTTTCACCTTTCAGTTGCGCTTCGGCGATTTATTATTTATTTCCACTCTGATGAATTAGTTGGAGCCCCTAGCTGGGCTGATGCTAAGATAACCAACACATATGAGTATGAGTATGAGTGGATATCCTTCACAGTGGTCTGATTGGACTACCTATAAAAAAACCGTGTGGAGGCTTTCAGTTATAGGAGGCGTTGAACTAACCCACATGGAGAGGAAGACAACGAAAACCTCCCACTGTTAGCCTGACGGCAAGGGGACTCTAATTCATTATCTGTCTACCACTGAGGATATTTCACGTCAGCACTGTGTTCGGCGCAAGTCGGATGCGGAATTCGTATCGACTGGGATTCGAACCCGGTTCGCCTCATTGGAAGGTGAACGCTCTATCCCCTGAGCCATCGATTCTAGTGATAGTTAGCGTAGGGTCAGGAAGGGAGGTGAACACTGTTATTTTCTCTTGTACGTTATGCGTCCGCTCATTTGATAATTTCTCCTCGAGTTAATTTGTAATTATAACCACAGAGTTTGTAAATTCGATTATTCATAAGATCACAAGTTTGTGACTAATTCTTGACAGTAGGTAAAATTTTAATTATTCCATCTACATTCTGACAAATAAAGGTTTTAAACTAATTTTAGGTAATAAGCTAAATGAATTTGTTTTTATGAATCATGCTCAATCCCAAATTTATTTTATCATAATATTACTATAGAAAAAATGGCAAAATAAAGAGCCAAAAAAACTTCGTAAACTACCAATTCATGCACTATAATTTTTTTTCCGAAAAAAAAATGAGATAAAATAAATTACACTGACGATTTGTACTGAGCTCAAGTTTTCCTGAGAATTTTTTTTATTGCAATGCATACTAACTCGACGATAACCAATACCTCTTAAAAAAATAGAAGGCCTCAATGCATTCCAAGATTAATATTGTAATTCTATAAAATGAATTCAAAATTGTTTGTATTAAAGCTAGAAAAATCATCTCTTTTCATTTTGGTCCGTCTGAAACTTTGCTTGTGTAAAAATGACGTTTCTAAAGGCTTTTAGCAAGATCTCTTAAATTGCGCGAACATTTTCGCCATGTAAAATTTTTTAAGGCATTTGCTGTTTAAAAGAAATATTGTTTACATAGAGTTAGTATAATAGTGTTTGCCATAATTTTGTTCAACCCCCGTAAGTATATAAACCAAATCAACAGGAATATTGTTTTTTTTAATATTATTAGAAAATGTGACTTGAAATTGCTTCGTAATAAATCTTTTAAAATTATACATAAAGGCTTGAATATTTACTTACTGCAATTAATTTATTGCTTGAATTAGTAATTAACGCTTGAATTAAAATGCATTCCAAAAATTGTGTAATAAAAGCATTGCTTTTAATAAAATTATAAATTACGTGAATAATATTATATTGAATTGCTTATGTATTTAGGTGTGGCAGAAAGCCAACTTTTATTGGTCTAGCTCTTCTATTAGCTTTAGCAGAAACAGGATCAGCTGTCTGCACCAACTTCACATTATTCTTAATTTTACGAGTCGTCATAGGAAGTACAGTGTACATTTACAGCCTTGGATATATTATAGGTAAGATTTAATGTCCAGTTTGAAGAGAAATATCAAATGTGTGGAGAGTGCATAATTATCAGCCAAATTTAGCATGATGATTATGTGTTTAATCTTTTTTGTTTTAAATTGTAATGCATGTACTAAAATTAAAAAGGCGCAAAATGAGTAAGAATTTATTATTGATCACAAAACAAATTTAACCCATGAGAAGGAGTGTTTTATAGGGAAATATGTATTTATGTACCTATCGGCAACTTTTCTTTCTCTTTAATGTTTAAATTTTGGATTCAGCAGTATGCAGCGTTTTTGCACATCATTAGCACAGGGGTGAAAGCGAGACGGAAAAGAGGAAAGGCTGGTAGTAAAACCATTTCAGTTATTATAGCTAGTTTTGGGGAGGAGTTTACTTATTATTTTTTTAAATTTTTCAGCAATATCTTCTTTATCTTGGAAAAGAAGCAGTTTTATATATATGCCAGAACTATAAAAGAAATCTTGATAGTTACAGATATTTCATTTTTTTCGAAAAAAATGCTGGAATAAAATGTTTTACGTACCAGGTTTTTCTCTTTTCCGTCTTGCTATATAAGGGCTTTCACCCATGCCTAATTATAGATATATAACAAGAAAATTGTCTAGAACCTAAAATAGCTATAAATGGTGAGGCGAAATACCGTTCTCATACCTGCCAACTTTTAATCCTTTCCATTATAATTTTTCCCAGTGGTATTAACCTGGAATTAAAACTTCAATTTTAAGCAAACAAATACGTTGTATTTGAGAAAACTTAAATTGACAGCCATGATAGTAACGCATATTGATATATGTGTTTAATTTTTGTAAGAATAGTGGTGATCAAAATCATCTAAAAATAAATTTATAAAAGAAAAAATAGTATATATTTACTACCACTTTAAATATGAAAATGAAGTCATCCGGAAGAGCTGGCAGGTATGCGTCAGGGTTGCCAGACGTAGTATTTTTAATACTACACTAGTATTTTTTCACCAAAAAAAGGGGTATGGTATTTTTCGTAGTATTTTTTTAAAATGTGGTACTTTCAGTTTTTTTTAATTTTATTTATTTATTTTATTTCCTAAAACAAAGAAAAGTGCCACTCTAGTTTTGAAGTAAAAAACAATTTTTGAAATAATCCAACAGTTTATTTTCTATTAGTCACTGTATCTAGTGATGATTGTGAAAAATAAAAGTTCGTTTATGCTAGTAGACTATAATATAAATTGTTTCTTATGCACGTTGATTAAGTATATTTTACTTTTCTTTTCTATATAGGATGTGAGACAAAATATGAGATTTTATATTTTCATTTAGGTTCAATTTTATACAACTTTGAAATAAATCGTTTATGATACACAAGAGACATTATTATGATACACACAACTCTTTGTTTATTCTTCAAAAGACAAAGTTGCTGATAAAAATATTAATTACTACACGTATATCTGAAGTATAATTGCACAAAAGGATAATAATTGTTTTAAGATAATTGTTAAAGGATAATTGTTTTTCAATTATAATATTATTTTATCCTCAACTAAAATAAATTTAAATATAATTCTAAAAAACTTTAGCCAGACGATATAAATAATGTTAATTATAATAATAATAGTCGTCTGTCTCAGTTTTCGTCTGCATAAGCTTTCAAATAAGTCCTGTAGATAGCGCTTAAGACATGTAGTATTTTGTAATATTTTTTCGGATGAAGTCGTAGTATTTTTTATTTTCAGAGTCTGGCAACCCTGGTATGCGTTCTGTCCATTTTATTAATTTTCTGATATTTTTATGCCCAACAAGCTGAATGAAGTTTTCTGATTGTTAACTTTGTCATATAGCTGCGAAAAATTCATATCCTTGCTGACATTAGTGAGGAATTCAGCTGAAGTTTCGCAATTACGATGGCTCAATTAAGGCAATCAGAAGCCTGTATTTTTGTAAACATATCACATTTTTCGATATTTTAAAAAAAAAGGCTTTTGATTGACCAAATTTATCCACCGTAATTACGAAAATTTAAAATTTAGCTGAATTCCCACCAGAAAGCCATGGATTTACGAAATATGGATTGGGTACATATGATAGATTAATAAAGCAGTAAACATAAAATTGACGGATTTACACTGTATTGATATATTGTTTAAAAAATAGTTCATTAAAGAAGGAAACGTAAAATATGCCCTTTATTCGATTTGGGGTTCCCCTCTGATGTGGTGGCCCGGGGCAACTGCCCCGTATGCCCTTGCCTTAGTCAGGCTCTGAGCATTGTAGTAAGTTTTCAAATATTAAAAAATTAGATAGAGCTGTCAGAGGCTAGAGCGTTTGCCTCCCAATGAAGTGACCCAGTTTCGAATCCTAGCAATGGTTGGTTGATGCAAATTCTGACGTAAAATGTCTTTATTGCTAACTTACAATATTCTCAATGCTAAATGGATCACGGGTTAAAATCCCGTTACCCTTGAGCTAACCATGAGATATTTTTGTAGTTTTCCTCTCCATGTGACACAAATGCGAGCTAGTTACATCAAAAAGTTTCCGCGATGGCTAGCATTGTCCCAAGACGTGATCCAGGAGTTCCCCTGTCTTCTGGGTCTAGTTTAAAAAGTACAAGATTAGGGAGATGAACATTGATATTCGTAAACTCAGTTGGCTGTTTAACACGGATAATAAAAAATTAAATAAAATATAGAAAAACATAAACAAAAATATTCACAGAGTTAAGTTTTACTCGGTGAAATATTACTGGTTGATAACTGGTGTTTAACTCCGCTACTAACATGGGTCAAACATGATTAAAATTTCCACATCTGAAAGTGGCCTAGAATTACTGTTATTCACAATATTTCACACTTGACTTCGTCACTTCTAGGCAGTATATGTATGATCAACTTGTTATTCAATTTGCAACCTTAAGAATTTAAACCAATTATTTATGAATTAATAAAATTGCTAATATTTTTTTAATGATAATTATACAAATAATATATTATTTGTACTTTTTCTATTGCGAAGCTTTGGAATTAGTGAGGTCAGATTTAAAAACTAGGATAAATGGAATAGCAGTAAATTGCTGGACTCTAGGTTTGTGCCTGTTACCCTTAGCTGCCTATCTCACCAGGAGTTGGATCAAACTAACAGTCGTAATAGCAACTATAGCAGCTTCCTTCGTTCTGTATTGGTTGTAAGTTCTAAATATGTCATTTTTTTCGTTTTCTGTTTAGATACCGATTTACAATCACGAGAAAAACTCCCGCGAGAACCGTTACAAGGAAAATATAAAAAAAATGGCAGTAAAACTACTTCGTTTTTTGAATGCTTCCCTCAGAAACAAGCTACAATAAATTGCTTTTGCAACCAACACCTCCTATGACTGAAAGCTTCCACACGGTTTTTTATAGGTAGTCCGATCAGACCACTATGAAGGATATCCACTTACCGAAGGAGTCATTTAATACAGAATATAGTTAAAATAAGAAAGTGGTTGCAAATATATGACTAAAAATTTATTTTATTTAAGAATATTATTGATTTGTCTTATTCACTTGTCAACCACTACAGATTCAATTCTCAAATATATAACATAAATTTCGCTCAATTACTTTAAAAGGTTTTGGGTTCATGCACACAACTGGTTCACTTTTTCAACAGTTTGCGCGGACTACTTATAAAAGATCGTGTGGAGGCTTCTTGATGTAGGATTTAATGGTACAACTCTCTGGGAGAGTTTTTCTCGTGTTGTCCATACAATTGAGTCTAGAAGAGAAACTGTTGCTGTAAAATGCAATCAATAAATTCTTATTTCAGGGTTCCCGCGGTCCTTGAAAAATTTAAGAAGTGGTAGCAAATTTAGGGTGGAGCTACAATATACTTATTTATTTTAATATACTTTTTTATCGTAAAGTGCTGAAATTTTCGTGCATATATATATTTTTTAGAAAAAAACTTTTAGTGGTGGCTACACAGAAATAAAAATGTCAAAATTTCTTTTATTTTTATTACCACTTTTTAAAATTCTCAAGGACCGTGGGAACCCTGTATTTATACCCATACCTGCCAACTTTCACGCATTTGGCGTAAAATTTTATTTCTATCTTTAATGTGGTAATAAAATGTATGCTTTTTACATATTCCTTGCATTTATAAACTTAATTTATAATCTTTTTGACCACCACTATTGTTATAATAATTAAGCATATATAATAATAAGTGATACTGTTTATGAAATCAGCATAAGCTTTTTCAAAATACAGTGAATGTTATGTTTTTGCCTAAAATTGTAATTCAAATTTCATTTTACTGCCGCTGGGGAAAATCTTCCTCTGAAGAATTAAAAGTTGGCAGGTATGTTTATACCACATCGATAAAATTGTAAATTCGCCTTTTTGTTAATATCTAGCCAAAGGAGTGTAAGTCGTGAATCGTATTTTCTTCTACAGTTTCCTATTATTTTTCAGGTGGTTTTGATGATTCTTCAATATATTAAAAAAAAAACATGTTAATTGTACTTAGTGTTGAGATGAGAGAATGCAAATATAGCCTAGTGTTAAAAATGTTGTCAAATTCAGAATAAAAATTAATAATTTTATAGATTTCACTTCTCTTCTACTTTGTGAAATCTTTAGTATTTCTACAAGATAAGACATTATTCAGTAATACTACTATTTTATTTTTCATTTTTCTTTCTCACTCTACAAGGCTTTTCTAGTTGCGGAATAGAAAATTATGCAAAGCACGTTAGAGATGAAAAATTAGTATTTATTTTCAAAAGTGATTCTTATTTAATTTTGTTTCAAATCAAGTACGAAACTTTGTAATAGCCTATTCACACAAATATAGTAATTACTACTACTAAAACTTCATTTCATAAAAAATTGTATCATTTTTACATTTTCTGTTGAAGCATTCTCCCTGAGTCTCCAAGCTGGTTGATTTTGCAAGAGAGGTATGAGGATGCAGCGAAAATCATTGCACAAATAAGTAGATGGAATCATAAAAAAATTTCATTCGAACAAATTTTGGAAAACGTCCAGGTATGCTTCATGAGTTATTATAACTTATCCCAGTAATCATGAAATGAATCTGTAGATTTCAGGCAGATATAGAATAGTTGATTTTTTTTCTCCGTTACTGCGTTGTGGTCCAGTCTCGGTGTAGTCAAACATTTAATAACGTTTTCTTGCAAATAATCTACTATTATGGAGTTTGCAACAATAAAAATAGACTAAATTTGACTGCCATGTCAAATTTCTGTCATTACATGAAATAACGCTGTCATATTATATGGGAGTTTGCTATAGTAAATATAAGCTAAACTTCAATGCTATGTCAAGTTTAGCCTGTTTTTAGTCAGCACCATCTATGCTATATCTGAAAATGACACAAAAAGTCAACATGAAGTAAAAACACAGTATTGTGGAAACAAAAAACGTTGTTTTTTAACTTTTTATATCTCACTACAATATACAGAAACGTTAATAAAAAAATAGAATGTTACTTTTTTATTTATTCAAATTAGTTTTGAAAATAATTAGGATCTTAAAGGAATAAAAAGAACTATGAGACTTCGCCCCCTGCTCGCTGGCTCTCGCCAACCCCCGGAACTGCTTTCGCAGTTCATTTCGGATTGCTCCGCAATCCGATGCTCGCTTTGCTCGCTCATTGGATATGTTCTTAACGTCTAGCTTTTGTATACTTTTTTGAACACTGAAGTTCCGAAAACTTTTCACTGTTGAAAATTCTAAACCTGTGCATTTCAATATTAATTTGAAATTGCAAACAGTTCACATATTTTTCTTAATCACACTATTCTAAATTTCAGTTGTTGAGAAAAGTAACTGTTGTAAGTTTTGTTTTAAAGTCTTTCCCACCAGAGGGCTAAAACCATGTGTTGTAAAACAATATGAAATAGTACTGAACGCCGGATGTAAAGCATCGGCTTCGATGAAGATAATTTTGTGAGAATTTTTTTGATAATTCGGTGAGAATTCACCCGATTAGACATATGATGCTCACTACGTGCTCTTGCGCGCCGAAGCCTATCAATTAAAACGTATTAGCGTTTTATATAATATAGATTAGCCATATGATGCTCACTACGTGCTCTTGCGCGCCGAAGCCTATCAATTAAAACGTATTAGCGTTTTATATAATATAGATTAGCCATATGATGCTCACTACGTGCTCTTGCGCGCCGAAGCCTATCAATTAAAACGTATTAGCGTTTTATATAATATAGATTAGCCATATGATGCTCACTACGTGCTCTTGCGCGCCGAATCCTATCAATTAAAAAGGAAAACTGTTGCCAGCGCGAGAAAAGAAATATCATCGGTTTTATTGATACATACATACGTACGTACGTATTAGAGTTTTATATAAGATAGATTGCTTTCTCAGTTAACTTCAATGTAAATTATTACAGGGGTGCCAACTACTATGTTTTTTGCAAAACAGTTTTTTCACTGGGAGAAAATTAATAACAAAAAGCTCTCAGATTTTTGTGTTATTGATAATTTTCTCGTCACGAGGGAGCTATAAACATAGCGAAGTTTTATATGATTTTTTGAATCATTTACATGCAGTGGTGTGTAAAATAACTTTGAATTAGATTTACAAAGCTAAGAAATGTACATTAAAACATAAATCAAGTTTGTAAAGTAGAAATCATACACTAAAACTTTATTTTTGAAATCGCTAAAAAAAATTGTTTCCGTAATGCGCAACAAATTGGACACTGAGAAAAAACTTCTTAAATTGGACATGCGTCTATGGCACATAACACCTTTGCTCTAGCTTCTTTTTATAAAAACGGTCTTTTTTTTACAAAAGAGAAGGAAAAAAATTGGATTTTACTTTCAGAAACAAGAAAGTTCTGTTAACCATAGTAATTTGATATACTTGAACCTCAAGTCGAAATGCAATGCTTTTGTATTAAATCTACTACCAACTTGTATCGGACAGTGGGTAAATAATTTTGAGTGATAGTCTTTTAACACGTTCACGCCGGGAAAAGTGAAAATACTGGTACGGGAAAAGAGAAAATACTGGTAGAAGAACTATTTCACTATTAGATAATAGTCGGGAGGAGTTAATCTATTCTCAACAATAACAATTCAATGTAAGGAAATTTATCACGGCGAAGAAGCAATTCAATATGAAAATTGCATCCGTTAAAAAAAATTGGTATGGATTTTTATTATGCCCGGAAAAAACTAAAAAATGAAATTTATTGTTACCAGTTTTTACTCTGGTGCGCTGCCAAGATGAGACAATCAAGCGTGACCCACCGGTGGGTCACCCCGGTGTGAACGTGTTAATTCGAAAAGATGTTAGGTACAAAGATTATTTTTTTTCCTTCTAAACTAAGCATATTTGATTGAGATAAAACGCTTAATACCATTTCAGCGTTCCCACGGTCCTTGAGAATTTTAAAAAGCGGTTATAAAAATAAAACAAATTTTGATACTTTAATTTCAGTGTACCCACCAGTAAAAATTCTTTTCTGAAAAAAATATATGTGCATGAAAATTCCATACCTGCCAACGTTTAATCCTTTCGAGGATGATTTTCCCTAGTGGTAGTAAAATGGCATTTAAATTACAATTTTAGACAAAACAAACGCTGTATTTCGAATAAGCTTATGCGGATTACCACAACTTGACTTGATAGGAATTGGAGCGAAGTACCTGCCCGCGGAGCGGGCATCTCACTTCTTCATCTGGTCTTTATGATAGTAGTTGTGTCTATTGGCATGGGTTGTGAAGTGGTTAGAGTGGTGGCAATGTAGCCTCTGTAAGAAACTTACAGTCATATCTGAAAATGGATTACCACAATAGTATTACATATTATTATATATGCTTAATTTTTTTAAAAAAAGTGGTGGTCAAGAAGATTATAAATTAAGTTTATAAATATAAGGAATATATAGAATGCTACTACCACTATATGCTACTATAGAATTTTACTATAGTAGCATACTATATATAGAATGCTACTATAGAATTTTACTACCACTTTAAATAAAGAAATTAAATTTTACGCCAAATGCGTAAAAGTTGGCAGGCATGAAATTCCAGCACTTAACGATAAGAAGGTATATTAAAGAAATATATTGAAGCAAACCCTAAATTTGCTACCTTTTTTTAATTTTTTCAAGGACCGCGGGAACCCTGTATTTTATTCTTTCAATATTTAAAACTTTTTACATTATACCTGATGTTCTGTTAAATTCTTCTCAGCTTTTTTTTTTTGTTGTAGTTTTTAGGAAAGCAGATGAAAGAGAAGAATTTAGAAAAAATTTCTCTTATGGATTTCTTAATCTATCCAAATTTGCGGTCTAGATTTTTTCTCTGTGTTGTTGTGTGGTAAGAATTTTTTTATTTAAAATGATAAAGAATTTGTATATTTCTAACAGTAGTTTTTTTTTGGATTTCTCTAAATGTTAAATCAATTCCCGTACTCCATGTTTATTATTGTTTGCAGCCCCTCTGCCTGCTTACTTCAATGCTCAACTCAGATATGCCAACTTGCTCTGACTAACAATTATATATTTTAAAGTGGTAGTTTATCAATTGTGATTCTTGGTTTAATAAATTCAATTTAGTAGATTTTAAACCACCGCTATTTCTAATTAATTCGTAGGTTTATATAATTCACCACTCTATAATACTTATGTTATGCTATGCTCTTTAAAGAGCAAGCAAAAAAAAGTCAAATATTTGCAAAATTTACTTTTTAGTTATTTACCGTTTTTTTTTAATTATTTCGGCATGTCCGAAACACTTGGTATAGCTCGTTCACCAGGAGTTGGCACTTAGCTCCGCCTTCATCACGTGGTATGCGACGATACTATTTCGCTATTTTTGGGAGAAGGTTGTGAGCAATCCTGAACAATGTTGCTATTTGGCGATCGTTTGGCAAAAATATTTATTTCGCAAACTTCATCTGCATTTTTTTAACAATAAATATTTCATAAATTTGATGATATTTTGAGCCATTTTTTATGATATTTCTTTCTTTTAAGTGAATAGTTCGTCCTTTATGAGACATTTCGCTGGGAGAACAGCAGTTTTTAAATTTAAACTATATTTAATTAGCAGATGATATAATATAATAGCAGATGATAAAGCAAAGTAAGTGACTGAAAAAGAATTCACTTTTTGTGTTGGCGCAAATTAAGGGTTGTCTCAATTTCAACAACGGAGATGTTTCTCTTCTAACTCCCGCGCTGAAATGAACTCTGCGTCCGAGGAGGAGGAGCCAAGTCTCAACTCCTGGTGAACGAACTATATCTCTGTCAACCAAAATACTGCAAACATTCCACCTTCGCGACCCAGTAATATTAAAACACTAGGATTTTTATTAGTGTTTAATAACACTTACTTATTTTTATTAGTTTTTAACTTAGTATTACAGGATTTGCAGTTCAATTAGCCTTTTATTAAAATTAATTAGCTAAGTTTTATTATTACTGCAGGAATAATAGTTAAATTAGCTTTCGACAAAAATAATGAACTGATTTTATAATATTGCAGAATTGATAGTTCAATTAGATTTTAATAAAATTATCTTACTGAGTTTCATTAATGTTGCAGGATTGGTAGTTCAATTAGCTACTACGGATTGCAAGACAACGTTGACAATTTGAGTGGAAATGAATTTCTTAATTTCTTCTTTCTTTCACTTGTTGAAATTCCAGCCCATTTTACTATTTGGTGGCTTTTAGGAAATGTTGGTAGGAAAAAAAGCATACAAATAGGATTTATAGTTTGTGCCGTGTCCTGCCTTGGACCAGTATTTTCTTCTTCTGGTAAGTAGATATTTACAATCGATTTCTCATTGGAAAACCCTCCTTTTCATCAATTTGACTGCGAGATGAATGCTCTAATCATTTACCCTTACACAAATTTATTGTATTTTTGAAGTTGTTTTGAGATGTTAAGATTGATTCGAGGTTTATTAGAATTTGACTTCTAAAGAAATCATAAGAAATCAACCTCTTAAAGTTGAATGAAATTGTTTATTCACACTTGAAGTGATTTTGAGGTTAATAGAAAGGTTGTTGCACAGAGATGTTGCTTTTTAGGTGAACATTCCATAATATTATATTTCATTTATTAGAATATTCATTTTTATATATTTTTAAAATGTTTCTTTTCTATCACAAGGATATATAAGTTATGATAAAGAATAAAATTTGCCGAATTTTATTGTAGAATCTACTCAATTCAATATCTTGTCCACCTTAATTGCAAAAGCTGGTTCAAGCGCAGTTTTCANAGAAAGGTTGTTGCATAGAGAAGTTGTTTTTTAGGGGAACATTCTATAGTATTATATTTCATTCTATTATATTTCATTTATTAGAATATTCATTTTTATATATTTTTAAAATGTTTCTTTTCTATCACAAGGATATATAAGTTATGATAAAGAATAAAATTTGCCGAATTTTATTGTAGAATCTACTCAATTCAATATCTTGTCCACCTTAATTGCAAAAGCTGGTTCAAGCGCAGTTTTCATGGCCCAATACCAGCATACTCCAGAACTTTTTCCCACTTCACATCGTGGGATTGGTATGGGACTCACGAGTACAGTTGGGATTGGTTCATCTCTTTTGGCACCATTCATTGTGAGACTGGTATGTATTGTTCTTTATTCTTCTAGGGTTGCCAAAACTTTTATTTAACCCCAACCTTGTTTTTAACCGCTTGTGCTGGTAGGACGTGTCACACAAAGCAAAGTTCATTTGCGGACGAATCTATTAGTATTTTAATTCCCTATTTAATATCCTAGAAATTTAATATCGTAAGATTTTCTCTATCACAACAAATTCGAAAAGGATGCAGAACGAATAAATTGTTCGTTTATTTATCTCTGTCACTATAAATATTGTGAAGAGCTCGAACTTTCGAGTTGACACCCCTAATTTAACATAACTTTTTTAACTTTAAAAACACAAATTTGAATTAAATTGGTAGGATAATGAATGAAAAATACTTGTTTACATTACCTTTATAACATTTTCGTTGTAAAGTAATAGAATTTTTTTATTCTATTTCATTTATCTAATTTTTTTCTAGGATAAATATGGCCACTTTACACCCTATTTGATTTTTTCTATGATATCTGGAATTTCTTGTTTTTGTGTTGGTTTTCTACCTGAGACTTTGAACAAAAATTTGCCACAAACAGTTCATGATATTGAGAATTATGTCTTACACACCAACTGTTTTCGACGAGGGTAAGAATACTTAGCTTTTGTCCAATAGAATAGATTTTATAAATTATACAGTATTAAGTTTCAATACTAACTAAAACTGATACTAACATAAACAAATATTTGTTATAATTTTTTTAATTATCAGACATTAACAAAAAATCAGTGGCATCCCTGTTAAAGTAGTGGTCTGCATCAGCAGAGTTTGACGAAAACTTTGTAAAAGTTGTAGCAAAACATTGGCTCTCATTTAAGCTCTTAGATTTATAAATACATTTTAACAAGTTTTTAACCTTGTTCCACATACACGAAGGCATAGACACGCAACAACGAAAGATACCGAGAAATGCAGATACTTTAGGCATTAGGCTATCCTGCTTAAATTAAAGCTCATTTCACTTAATAGTGATATTCATTTGCAATGCCTACCTTCCCACGGTAATGAAATGACCGATATTCTCTCTAAGGAGGGTTGCAGGATTACAACAACTCCCTCGTCCACACTTACTTTTTGGAGTTAAACTCTCTGAAAAAGTCAAAAATCTCAGAGGAGCGGAAAACACTCCCAACCCACAATTGCTGCAAGGGATCAAAACCGGGTTCGACCCTTGACCTCCCGTGAGACAGACGTACCCGGACTGTTCTATGAAGGCTTGCTAGCGGTCACATCAAGTGCCTCACTTTCAAAGAGGGCAGGAAAACCTTCGTAACCTGCACCAAGTGCCAAATTCATCAGGCTTCTCCTGAGCACCTCTTGGATTGCATGGGACTCTCTAAGGAGGATCTCTTTGGCAATCCTCTCCTAGTCTTCGACTTCCTTTCAGTCAATGAGCTCGTGGATCTCGTCTGACTCCGTCAGACAGTGAGGATAAGCAACAACAACAACATGCATTAGGCCCGAGTAATGCAGATACTTCAGGCACTAGGCACCTGAGTCAAGAACGAGTAGGACAAAAAGGCAAGTAAAGGAGAAAAAGTTTAACTGAGCAAAAAGTCTAAAGCCACAAGGGAGCAGCACCATTCAATCACAGATGTATAGCAAATACCAGGCAGACCAAAACATTTCTAAACAAGACAGAATGAAAAAATCTATGCACATACAAATATAGAATGTTACATATTTATAACATTTTCCAGACATTCACAAAATGTCAAAAGAAGTCAGGACTAGACAGCAACGGTAGAAGAACTAGCAGAGACACCCTGAAATTTCTAAGAATGCATAAAACAGTGAATGACTTTGTATTCTTTAGTTTCTACTTTCTTCAGCCCAATTTCCAACTTATCTTCTGGAATTGCTACTTCAAAGTGTTTTTGTACCAACTTAAAAGGCCCAATTGCTGATAATCGTGACTGGATTTTTGACTTTCTCTCTTAGCTCATCATTTTCCAATTTTTTTTCCAACTGGAGCTGCTTCACTAAATTCTTTTTCCACTTTATAAAAAAACCAGTTGTAGGTTTCTCAATTTTGGTTTCCAACAAACGTAATGATGTTACCTCATTGAAAATTTCGTTTGCTTCAAAAATATACAAATGTGTTACAAGTGCATTAAAAATAAGCTTCCATTTTCAAGACTTGAGTGTAAAGAAAAAAATATAATCTAATATATATAATTCTCTTACGTGGCTCCCAAATTTTGGCTGTATTTCTTTTCCGCCGGTGGCAACGTTTGCATTGTTTTGTTTACGTTACTATTTCTCTTACACGGCGAATCGACCAATGATTGCCGCTAAAAATGTCACATGCCAAATCTAGCTGAGATGGCTCAACATATAGCGCTTTTAAAAACGGAAACTGAAATAACCAGAGAGAGCATAAGCTAGGCAGAAGTGAGTAGTCTTTGTCGATAGATCTCTATTTTAGTATTTTGTCGAAAGCGCTTTTTTTCACGAATTTATATATTACGAATTTATTTGACGATTTTTGATTTATATTACGAATTATACTATAGCACATTTCTAATAGGTTTAACGAATTACATGTCATTTATTTGAACTCAAATTTATTTTAATGACTTAGAATTTACTAAAAAGATGTAATTATTTTTTTAAAAAAAGTTTTTATATGGATTTGAATGATTGTTTTGAATTCTTAGAATTTTGTGCATTTACAATGTACCTAAGTTAGTAGCGAGCGAAGCAAACCATATAAAATTGCGTAGCAATTTTTGGGGGTTGGCGAGCGTTAGCGAGCAGGGGGCGCAGCCCACTTGTTTGAAGTAAAAACGTAAAGTTGCCTACAAAAAATGAAAAAAATAAAGGTGAGAAACAGAACTAGTAATGCATTCTACTAGAACTAGTAATAGAAAGTAAATGCATTCACGTGCGTTGGGGAGAGGTAGGGAAGAACTAAAGGTCGTTAACAAGGTTTGTCGTTAACAGTGTCGTAAGCCAGTTTTCAATCAGGTTATATCTTACCACTTCGGTCTCTTGAGATTATATATTTAAGTATTATGAGGAATTAATTACAGAGATGCCAACTGCTCCGCACACGCCGAAATAATTAAAAAAAAATCAGTACATACAGAGATGCCAACTGCTCCGGACACACCAAAATAATTTTTTAAAAAAAACGGAAGATAACTACAAAGTAAATTTTGCAAATATTTCACTATTTCTGCTTGCTTTTTTAAAAGAAATAGCATGACAAATGTATTAAAAAGTGGGAAATTATATAAGCCGACGAATTATTTAGAAATAGTGGTGGATAAAAATCCATTAAGTTGAATTTGTTAAACCAAGAATCAAAATTGATAAACTACCACGCTAAAATATTTATTTGCTGTCCGGAGCAAGTTGGCATCCAAATCCTCGTTTTGAATCGTACTTGTGCCCTTTCAAAATCTTCTTTTCTTTCAACTTCTTTTTTCTTAACTAGAATTGGGTTGCCAGTTTTTTAACTTTTCCGTCTTAACTTCAGCCTTGCTTCTCTTTCAGAAGTTTCAAGTCAAAATTTAAAACCGTGGCTCGTTGTATTTTTACTTTCTGCTCCTTTAGTTCAAGTTAAACATACTGTCTGTATTAACCAATACACCACAATGAGATGTGTGTTTATATTTATAATGTAGTAAATAGATTAATATGAGAGCAATCTCGGTAGCCCCTTGGACGTGATCGCCCCATCGCATTTAGTTGAACTCTAAAATAGACTTTTTTCATGGTTCTTCATAAATATAACTTAAAACGATTTTGGGAGGATGAAAACTGTATGTTGCTCAGTAGACAAGAAAAATATATGATAGTTTGTCTGAAATTTAGAAAAATATACATAAAAAAAATTCCTCCTACACAAAGCTCGAAAAACCGCCCGTTCTCGGCGGTCAAAAATTCCCCGCGGTCAACAAATTTCTCGAATCCAACGTCCGCGCGGATGGCCATTTTCCCGTTAATGTTCGTGACACATTTTCAATTTTTGTTATCTTTCAAGAGTTAAGCGCCTCACTTCTAAAATGACCCTCTAATCTAGAAATAGAGCAACATAGTGATCATGGTGGAATCTATGTTTTCTCTGTCTGGGAGTATTGCAGTGGTTGAAAGAGGTTTTTCAGCAATTAACTTACAAAAAAACACATTACGTACTAGTCTTAAGCAAGAAGCGTTAAACGCAATTATGAACATCTACCTAAATGGAAAACCTCTTTCAGATTTCTGTGCAGAAACCTCTGTTAATCATTGGCTTGAGTATGAAACTGGCAAACGTCCTATTTGATTCATTTAGAAAACGCAGTACCCTCGTATAAATTGACATTCCAGTTAACTTGACCTTTGTCATTTAAACTATTTCATAAAAGAAATACTAGGTTTTACTATTAGTAACCTAGTATTTCTTCTACTGTATAATGTAATCCTAGTAACTACTAATTCATTGAGCAATTTATATAAATGTTAGTAATAAATAAGAGAAAATTATATTTTTATTTACTTAGAAGCTACTGGTTAGTTTCAAAGGAGGATGGGTATATTGTTGGACTAGCCGTCCTCGGGGACAGGTAAAATTTCTGAGTTTTTTTGAGTCCTGCTCCTACAATTTTAAATCAATTTTCCACCTATTCCTCATTGAAATAACTATCTAAAAGTGTCTTTAAGTATGTTTATATTATTGTCGAAATTAATTTCACAATATACATATAAGTTTTTCCATTCTAATGAAAAGGCTTGAAATAATCTTTTTTTCCTCTCTTTCAGTTTAAACATGAGAGAAGAATATGAACTTAACGAAAAAACTTCATCTAATCCTCAATCCGGAGAAACTGCTTCGACAGCTTCAAACAATGTTTTTATCATCAGTTATGACAGCACAATGAATTGAGCAAGAATTACATTTACATGATCTTGGGATGCTTTGATCAAAAAGTATTTTCTGAATCTGTTCATAAACATTCATTTAACATTTCAGAATAAACTTAAAACTCACAAAAACATTGTAGTCTCTGTAAACTAAGGAAAAAAGCACATCTTTCAAAACTGTATATATATATATATATATATATATAATTTACTTGTTTAGCTTTATCTTCTGCTGTTATATCTTTCATAATTACGTAAGTTGTTAAACATATTTTAAGTTTAAAGATTGCGGTTTTAGAAGAATAAAAAAATTTTTAAATGATATTTTTTTATTGGTGGAGTTATTTAAGGAAGTGTTTATGTTTTTATGTGAAAAAGATCTATTTATTTCTCAGAAAAAAATCTTCATAATCATTTTTGTTTGTAATACCTAATATTTTTGTTAATTTATTTTAATATTTTTGAAAGACAGTTACCAAATTGCTCAATGTATTTGGTTTTATTCACAAGTGAATGAAGTTTGTGATGTATACCAGCTAAAAAGCAAACAGGTATTTTATTCAAGTTTGCATTAATGAGTATTTTTATAAAACTGTATTGTATTTCTATTATACTTTTTTCAGTTGAATCAGAAATTATTCGAATTTCTTTTTAAAATAAAAAAATACGATAAAATTCGTTGTTTGCAAACGTAAAATTGAGTCGAAGAGTCCGAAAACCAGGTATCCCCACTTTTTTTCAAAATTGAGATTCTTGTTCTAGAATCTTAGAATTATTCTATATTAGTCATTCTAGAAGTTTAGTTGACGTGGTTACATAGCTGGGACATAAAAAAATCATGTTTACCTACTTGTTATAGTATACTTTGTGCAGTGAAATAAGCACTCTAAATCAAGCTAATACTTATCTAATCATTTTTTTTGTGTCTCCTGTAAAATTAGTTTTGTTGGAGATGACAGATTTTCGAACTCAATGATTCAATTATTTATAGAATGAAAAATACTATACGCTAGTTAAAATTAATTATTAATTTCATTTACACTTATCCTCCCCACCCCCATAATTTTTTTTTAATTTGCTATTTCAAATTTATTTTTAATAAAACTGCCTTGCAGTCAAATTTTTGGGAATAGAACATTCGTAATGAAACTAGAAAAAGTTCTTAAATATCAGATGTTTGGAGTCAAATAAAAATAATCATCATGCATATTGGCTTAGTTTTTGCGATATATTCTAAATATTACCAGAAATACTTCAAATAAAAAAATATTAAATATCTATTTTTTTGTCATACAATCGCCAGCTGGCTATCTTTTTCGAGATCATTCACATCTTTCTTCCGAATAATTGTATCGTCGAATACTACGTGACGAAAGCGAAGCCAAGTTAGAACTCTTGATGGACGAACACTATTACTTTGGTCAATCATTCTCGGCGAGAAAAAAAAAGCTATCAGATATGTCAGAGAACTTTTCCACATATATTAACATCGATTTTGTACATATGAATGTTAACAAAATATAAGAACATGATGAATGACACGGAGGTGCCAACTTGCACCGGACAACGAATAAATATTTTCGAGTGGTAATCTTTTCATGTATGATTCTTGGTTTAGTAAATTTGATTTATAGTGTTTTTACTCACCACCACTTCTATATACTTCAAAGTCTTATGTGATACGCCACTTTGTTGCAATAAAGTTGTTCAGGCAAAGTGCATACCTGCCAACTTTTACGCATTTGGCGTAAAATTTTATTTTTATTTTTAAAGTGGTAGTAAATATATACTACTTTTTCTTTTATAAGCTTACTTTTTAAATGATTTTGATCACCACTATTCTTCAAAAATTTATCATACATATTTATATGTGTACTATCATGGTTGTGAAGTTAATAGCTACCATAATGTTGCTTAAATCAAAATGTTTTAAATCAATGTATTCGGAAACTGTGTATAGTATTTTTATAAAACTGTATT